AAAAAAAAAAAATTGTGATCCTAGCTTTTTTCTCTCAACCCATTTTTAAGTGTGCAATTCAGAGACATTAATTACATCACATACATCCCTCATCACTGTCTATTTCCACAACTTTTTCATGACCTCAAACAGAAACCTTAAACCCCTTAAGCAATAATTCCCCATTTCCACCTCCCCCAGATCCTGCTGATCAAACTTCTGTCTCTATGAATCTGCCATTCTAGATAGTTCATATAAATGGAATCACATAACATTTGTCCTTTTCTGTCTTGCTTCCTTCATTTAGCATGTTTTCAAGGTTCATTCATGTTGTAATATGTACTAGAACTACTTTTATAGCTGAAAAATATTCCATCACATGTACATACTACTTTTGCTTATTCATTCGTTACAGAACACTTGAGTTGTTTCTACCTTTTGGCTATTGTACATAATGCTGCCGTGACCATTGGTATACAACATCTGTTTCAGTCTCTGTTACCAGTTCTTCTGAGTATATACCCAAGAGGGGAATTGCCGAGTCATATGTAAGTCAATGTTTAGCTTTTTAAAGAACAACCACACTGTTTTCCACGGTAGCTGCACCAATCGACATTCCCACCAACAATGTACAAAGGTCCCAATTTTTCCACATCCTCATCAACACTTGTTATTTTCCATTTTTAAAAGCATAACCATTCTATTGGGTGTGAGGTAGTCTCTCATTGTGCTTTTGATTTGCGATTTTCTACTAATAATGTTGAGCATCTTTTCCTGTGCTTGTTGGCCATTTGTGTATTCTCTTCGGAGAAATATCTGGTCTAGTTCTGTGCCCGTTTTTCAGTTTGGGGTGGGATTTTTTTTGTCTTTTTGTATGGAGTTGTAATTGTTTGTACATTCTGAATATTAAATCCTTAGCAGATGTATATATGATTTGCAAACATTTTCTCCCATTCTGTAGCCTGTCTTTTCACTTTCTCCATAACCTTATTCGATACACAAAAGTTTTACATTTGATGAAGTCCAGTTTATCCTTTCTTGATTTTTATCATTGCTTGTGTTTTTAGTGTCATGTCTAGGAATCCATTGCCAAACTGTTTTTCCTAAGTGTTGCTAAAGTTTAGATATGCAATTGATTTCTACATATTACTGATCTTATCTTTGCTAAATTCTCCTCTTATTTCAAACAATAGATAATATATATTCTAGAAACTTCTTACCCACTTTATCCCAGCTCCCTGCCTCAGCCTCCCTGGGGGAAGTGAAGAGCTTATTCTACAACTCTTGCCCACCAAATCTCAGTTGCTAGCTGCCACAGGTGGGGTCCCCAGCCATTCTAGGACCAGATCATGTTTGTTTGTTTTGGTGGTGGACCCCTGAAGACCTCCCCTTTTGTGAACACAGTGACGCCTCAAACGTTATGTCTTTCCTGGGGTCAAGTTGCGGGGCAGCAGAAGGATCTTTCAGAGTCCCCGGCAGTCATGATCCTGGCCCACTCCGGCACTTACCCATAAGTAAGCTGACACTTTGATCTCCACCCTGTGTCTCTTGCCGCCCCACTGATGGTGAATTGAGGCATGGAAAGGGGTATTATTTACTGGGCCCCCTCAAATGCCGAAAGGACAAGGTAGGTAAGAATTGGGACACACAGCGAGGGATGTGTGCACGTGGACTGCCCTCTTGAGTCTGTTTCCTCTAAAATAAAATGAGTATAATCCTACCTGGGCTGACTGTATCTCCCACTGCCTGACAGAATCTGATACAGAAGAGCAGGTTTGAGAGAGCATGCTCAGTGGAGGAAAGGGAGGTGGGAACAAAAGAAGATACACAGGCAAAGGTCGTGCCAGCACCGCCTCCATTTTTAGCCTCTCACTCTTCCCACCGAGATGAGATGTTTCCTTCTTCTGAGCTCCAGTTGGCATTTAACCTATCACACGTGCATTGCTATCTTTTGTGTGGTGGTGCTCTTGGCTTAAAATCCCCACAGGGGAGGAGCACCTTGAGGTGCAGAACCCCTCCTCTCCACCCCTCTGTCCTGCATCCCCACTGCATCCCAAGCACGATTCAGTTGGTGTTTTTTTTTTTAATTGAATGAGATGGGCAGTGGGTCAAGACACACAAATAAGAAACAGAGTTGCTGAGAGTGGAGGCAGGTGGAGCCACTTGGGGAAAACTCCCTGAAGGAGGGAAGCTGGCCTTGCTGCAGGATGGCAGGCAGGTGGGGTGTGGAGCAGAGGCACAGGGCAGCGTAGGCAGAAGGGGCGGGAGGCACGAGCCAGACCTGGGCAGCAGCCGGTGCCCAGGAGCTGGCTCCAGGCTTTCAGAGGGGCCCGGCACAGCGCCATCCTCTTCCTGGTCATGATTTATTCAACTGCAGCTGTGTCTGAAATATCCCAGGCAGGTGGTTCATTCTCTGAGGACCCAGCATGAGGGAGGATGTGGCATGTGGCCTCCAGATCAGACCTGAGCCACACGGCTGTCCTTCCTGAGGCAGGCAGATTAGACATTAGCCTGGTACACAGGACGACACGAGGCCAGGGAGATGACAGATCTGGCCCAGGTCACATGGGACCAAGAGTTGCTAGAGGGGGAAAAGAGGGGAATGGGACTGTCCTAGAGGAAAGAAAGCCATTACCTCTGGGTCTGGGGGGACACATGGACTGCAGTGGTCCCCCACCCCAACTCCACCAACTCAGCTTCCTGACAACAAGCCCAGTGCTGGGTAAGGAAATCTGAGCCCGGCTGGAGGGGAGCAGCTGGACGGTAGAGAGGAAGGCCATGCAGGAGGCAAACCTGTGGGTTCTCGCACCCCCGGCATGCTCCAGGCCAGACGCACCCCTAGACTGCCTGTGCCTCCATGTCCCCATCTCTAAAGCACAGCCGTATCTCAGCTGTGCTTCAGCCCCTCATCGTCCTCACATGGCAGAGAGGGAGCAAGCTCTTGTGGCTTCCATAAGGGCCCTGTAAGAAGAAGGCTCCACCCTCGTGACCTAAGCAGCCCCCAGAGGCCCTAATACCATCACACTGGAGACTGAATTTCAACATATGAATTTTGGAGGACACAAATATTCAGTATATAGCATTCTACCTTAAGCCCCCGCCAAATTCACGTCCTTCTCACATGCAAAATGCATTCATTCCATCCCTCCAACTGCAAAATCTTAACTCATTCCAGCCACCAATAGCAAAGTGCAAAGTCTCATCTCAGTGTCACCTCAGTGATAATGCCATACAGGTGGGATGGCTGATTAACAGCATGGCTCACCCCCTCACGGGTCTCCCTGTCACACGGTCAGCCCTCCACACTCTGAGTGCGCTCACGCCAACACACTTCCTCTTTCCTTGTAATAGGGGCAGGCAGAGAATTTTCCAGATCTTTAAGTTTGGGTTCCTTTTTGCTTAACAATCCCAGATCCATCTTCAATTGTGTTTTACCAAAAGCAATCACAAGGGACAAAGCCCCTCCTTTAACACTGCTAAGAAATCTCCAATTAAATGTCCAGTGTCATCACTCACAAGTTCCAACTTCTAGAAAACACTAGAACCCAAACACAAATCAGCCAAGTTCTTTGCCAGTTTATAACAAGGATAGCCTTTTCTTCACTGTCCAAGAACATGTCCCTTATTGCCATCTAAGATATCACCAGAATGGCCTTTACCATCCATATTTCTAACAACATTCTGTGCCTGGTTATTTACGTGGTTGCTAAAAGATGGACGCTTCTCTTTTCTGTGTGAGCTCTCACCAGAATCACCTTTTGAAGTCCCTCCACAGCGACAGCCATGTTTCTAGCATGCACTTCAAAGCTCTTCCAACCTCTACCCATTATCCAGTTTCAAAGCCTTGTCCACATTTTTAGGTATTTGTTATAACAGTACCCACTTCTGGGCCCTCTGCTTTATTCAGTCCACCAATTCAAATGCTAATCTCTTCCTGAAACAACCTCACAGGCACACGCAGAAATAATATTTAACCAGCTGAGCATCCCTTGGCCCAGACTGGCACATGAAATTAGCTATCACATACCCCAATTCCGCCCTCATCCTTTAAACAAAAGAACAGTCTAGCTGGGGAGAAAAGAAGCATAAATCATAGATAATGGACTAGAATAGCCTTCTAAGCACAGTTACATCTGCCATAAGCACGGCTCCAGAAGCCCAGGGATAAAGGGCTTTGGGGGTAACGTTCTGCCTGGAACAGGACGCACCAAAGAAGAACTCACCATGGACGAGACATCTGAGCTGAGCCTAGGAACGTGTAGGGTTTCACCAGGCAGAGGAGGAGGAGACAGACAAGCCCTGTAGGAGAGAGAATGATAAACGTATGATGCAAAGAAACACATGGATGGCAAGGGGATCGTGTGGCTGGAACCCAGCAGGACCTCCTGGGAGGAAGGGGCGGGGTAGGAGATGAGGCCAGAAAGGCGCATAGGCCCAGTGATGGAGGGCCCAGCACACGAAGGAGTTTGGAGTTTTGTCCAGAAGGCTGGGGCAGTGGGGCAGTCCCAACATTTTTAAAATTTAAGAATCTTTTTTTTTTAAATAGACTTTTTTAGAAAAATTTTAGGCTCACAGCAAAATTGAGCAGAAGGAACAGAGAGTCGCCATATACACCCTTCCTACTCACACACAGAGAACAGCCTCTCCCATTATCAACACCCCACACCAGCACGTTTACAGTTAGAACCCGTGAGCCTACACTGACAAACCATTATCACCCGGAGTCCACAGCTCACACTGCAGGGCTCACTGCTGGTGTGCGGTCTACTGGGCTCGGCCAAGGTATGATGACATGTAGCTACCACCACAGGGTCACATAGAAGAGTTTCACCGCCTGAAAACCCTCTGTGCTCCACCTATTCACGCCCCATCCCTGCAACCCCTGGAAACTACTGCTCCTTTATTGTCTCCACAGTCTTACCTTTTCCAGAATTTCATAGAGTTGGATTCATAGCCTTTCCATACTGGCTTCTTTTACTTAGTTAATATGCATTTAGCTTTCCTTCATATCTTTTCATTGCTGATACTCAATTCTTTTTATCACTGAATATATTCCATTATTCTTTTTTCATGTCAGAATAGTCTGAACATCCCCCTCGACATGACAATCCATTTTTAGAATCTACAACTTGAAATATGTGACAACAAAAACTGTGATGGATCCAGCAACGCTTTGTGTGTGTTACTAGCTATAATGTCTTCTACATAAATTATCCACATCCTATATTTTTCATGTTCAATGAAGACCAAAATGACGTGTTTGATGGGCTTGCAGAGCCCAGGGGTTGGTGGCATAAAGTAGGGGATTTGTGGTCTTGGGCAGCTGTCTAAGGATCTTTGGTAGGACACTGAACTGGTGAGATTTGCATTTTAAAAAGATCACTCTAGCTAGCTGCATCCTAGGATGGACGCCAGGACTCCGTTCCAACACGCCCCGGGACACCTCACCGACAAGGCTGTGGCTGCCCATGGTTGGCACAGTTACACCAAATCCACAGATCTGTTGAAAATCCTCATCCACGCAGTGATCCAAAAACCTTACTTGGGTTATGCTTGCAAACAAAACCTTGCTTTAGAAGCCACACTGAAGAGTCTAGAATCCAAATCCAGTTTCAGAACAAAGAGCTAGACACCCACTTCCGAGCAGATCAGAACCTGAAGAAGCCTCAGAATCCAGCAAGGCCATGGACAAGACCCTAAAGAGAAGATTCAAGGCAGAGAAGCAGGACAGTCATAGCAGCTACGCCTTCCCCCACTACATACCCTCATCAAGATATTCAGGAACAACCCTTAACTCTAGGATTCATTCCAGAGGATGCCTTGCTCAAAAAATTGGGGTTCCAAAAACAGCATTAAATTCATAAACACTGAGAAGTGACTAGTAATTACCAAAATTCAGCAAGCTGTATGTTGGTGATATGTGCCGTGTCCTCCATGTATTTTATCCCCCAGTAAAAGGAAGTTTTGTTTTGTCCTCTTGAAAAAAAAGAAATTGTGCTTGTTACCTCTAGATAGTGACAACAGTTCTACCAAGTGACGGGGCCAGGAGGAGGGGACGCGGGTGACGTGAACCATGCAAGCACACGGTCAGACCCTGTTCAAAGGCTGATATTTTGCTCACACTGTCTTTTGCATTTGTTTTGCTTTTTGAAATAGTGCCATTCTAATATTATTTATCCTGGCTACTGAGTTTTTTTGGCATCCTCTTAAATGCTGCACCCGGATGAGCACCTCATTCACCTTACCCTGGTCTGGCCCTAGATTTCAGCACAGCCCCCCTGGGGGACAGAGGGAAATGCAGTCTGAGTCGCAGGGGGACCTGCCCTCATCTTCCTCTCACTGGCCCCAACACAGAGCTCTCAGGAACACAGACACGTGAGGCACTGCCTACAACAGGAGGGGGCTGTCCAAAGGGACTGCTTCAGCCTCGGGTGGCGCACACCAGACCCTGTCCTTCCCGAGTCCGCCAAGCCTCCTGACCCCTGTAGCTTCCAGCCCACCGCCGCCAGTAAGGCTGCCTGGCTCAGAAGGCAGGGACCCATGGCCTCACGCTACCTGCTAAGGAACTGGGTGGAAGATAGTAGCCAGACCTCACAATGGGGCCATCTCAGGAGGACCCTCATAAATGGACGTTCTCCATTCCCATAATCCTCGGCCACATTCATTTCTGGACGTGTTAGTTTCTCGTTTTCTGAGTGGGCAAAGGTTAAGTAAGGGTGGCAGAAGTGTGCCCTTAATGAGGTCAGGTCCTTCTGCAGGACTGTCTTGCACTGCTGGGGAACTCATTTATGAAATCAGATCCTCCCATTATGAAGAAAAATGTAAAGGCTGGGTCACCTTCCAAATGGATGAAACATGAACTTTTTAAATAAATAGATTTTTATGAAGCACTATATTTTTTTAATGCAGCAGAGATTTCTTCAAAGAATGTGGTAATTTTTAGTATTTAATGACTTAGTATACACTGTCTAGTTAACAAAGGTTAAAGGTATACACTGTCTAGTTAAAAGCAGGTGACTATAAAGAGAAAATAAAGTTTTTAAGATCCATGTTACTACAACAGACCTATAAAATTTATATATCTGCATCTGTATAAACATACATGTGATACATATACTTTATTTTTAAATGGGGCCAAATTCTAGCACAATGCAGTCCAACAGAAACTTCTACAATGACGGGAATTTTTGTACCTTTATTGTCCAACATGGTAGCCATTAACCACAAATGGCTATCGACAACTTGAGATGTGTTCTGAGCAGGTGACTAAAGAACCAAATTTCTAATTTCATTTAATTTTAATTAGCTTAAATTTAAATTTAGTCAAATATGCACATATGTTACGGTACTATATTACATAGCACAGATCTATATAGCATTTTGTAAACGTTTAATTCACTCGGTGCTGATTGTCAAGGTCTTTTCAATCTAATAAATGTGCTTCTCAACTACTAGTGCATGACAACACCAATAAGTCAAAAAGTATAATGTAAAATTAGATCCCAATCCCAGTAGCAACAAGTATATATGTTAGAATAAATTTTTAAAGACAATACATGACCCAAATAAAGAGACCTAGACTATCTCACTAAGGTATTTTTTAAAAAGAAGAATAGAAACTATGGCCAAAAGTATTGAACCCAGGAAGCCAGAAAAAGAAAAAGGTAAAGTGCTGATAATTAGGAAAATGATGGCCACAACCTGGGTGGGGATGAGGTCAGCTCTCGCTTAAATAGGAGAGTCAGGGAGACATTTCTGGAGAGGTGATGTTTTCAGGCAACATCTGGGGTATGAGAATGAATGAATCACCTGAAGATGTGGAGAAGTGACTTCCAGACCAGGGTTCATCAACTACTGAGATTTGGGGCCAGATCATTCTTGCTGTAGGGATTGTCCCCTGAACTGTAGGATTTGGGCAGCATCCCTGGCCTCACACACTAGATGCCAGTAGCCTCTCCCCCTGCCCCCCAGGGTGACAACAAAAATGTCTCTCCTATGGCCAAGAATCCCTTGTGGGGAGGGGAGAGAAAGGAGGAAGAGTGACCCCAGTAGTGAACCACTTGTCTAGACAAAGAGTAAGCTCAAGGGCTCTGAGGTGGCATCAGGATGGAATATCCAGGGACCGAAGGAGGTGAGAGGTCGGTGAGGAAGATGATGTTAGGGGAGGCAGGGAGAGATGTAGGGCTTATGCACGCAGCCCCTTGTAGGAATTTGATCTTTGTTCTAAGAGAAATGAGAAAACATTGAGACATTGAATGCTTTTAAAGAGGGGCAGGAAATGATCTGCTCCATGTCTAAAAAGAGCATTGATTTGGAGATTGGCCTTTGAGGGGTACAAGGGGGACCTTAGGAGATTTAAGGAACCCTAGAGAATGGTGTTGAAAAACTCAGTCTCTTACCAGTTGATGAACGTCCCTGTGCCTCAGTTTCCTCATTTGTAAAATGGGGATAATAATAGTACATCTACTCTGAGGGCAGTTTTGATGATGAACAGGAACAAGTGTTTGTAATACATGTGGAATGGTGCCTAGCACATAGCAAGGGCTTCATACCTTTTATTCTTACTATGACTGCATTAGTCCAAATGAAAGATGTTGTAAGTTTTGAGTGATAGTAGTGAAATTATTTCTGTGAAAGGCTGCAGCTATGGAGAGCAGTGGAATTAAAAGGTAATGACATGTAATTGTAAATTAATGATACCAAAATAAAATATTTTAAAAAAGGTAAGGAATATGCAAAAGCTTGCAGAGAAGTGGGCAAAAAAGCTATAGGGGAGGTTGATGGGCAAGGTGAGTGGGTGGTGAAGGAAATGAAGTCATGATCGATAACTACAGAGTTTTTCACTTAAACAGTGTATGGATGAGGGTCCCATTTATGCAACAGAAACGACTGAAGGTCAATTTAAAATATATTAGATTTGAGATATCCATGAGGATATGTTAAGTAATAGCTGATCAACAGATCAGAGCTCAGGGAACAATCTAGACTGAAGATATAGACCTGTTCTTTTGCAAAGAGAGGAAACATTTAATAATTTAATTTGAATTAAACACAGTAAAAATATTTAAAGGTACTCTAGTTCTAAGGAATTTGATTGAACACATGCAAAATTACATTTGTACAAATCATTCATTGAAACATTATTTGTAATCGTACAGTTTGGAAATCACCTGAATATCCACTGAGAAGGAACTGGTTAAAATGACCCTAAGTGGAATATTATACAACTGATAAGAAAACAAACCAGCTTTGTATGTCCTGATACAGAATAAGCCACAAGAGACATCATTCAGTGAAAG